TTAATATGTTTCAGGCTCTCAAAAATAAACTTTTCTCATAGAAGAAAGCTCGAATGATGCATAAAAAATCAACCGACATATGGTATCGAGCTCTTGTGGCGCAATCGGCTAGAGCGTTCGGCTGTTAACCGAAAGGTTGGTGGTTCAAGCCCACCCAGGAGCGAGAACAGGAGAATCTCAAAATCAGAGAATGCTGCAAAAAATGTATGCACTAAGTTATTAATTTCAGGATCCACAGCTTCGAATTCTTGAATTTGAAAAATTAGGTTTGTAAGACTAGCTGCATCTTTGAGCCCTGCTAGCTCAGTCGGTAGAGCGTTAGACTATTAATCCAACGGTGAAGGGTTCGAGACCCTTGTATTGCGAAGAATCATTTTCTCAATTAGTTTTTTTGAAACACTCGAACTTCTTTGAAAACGCCGGTTAATTTCCGAGTTTTCATAAAAACTTGATAAGTTTCAGGCTCTCAAAAATAAACTTTTCTCATAGAACAAAGCTCGAATAATGCATAAAAAAACAACCTACACAACTTATCGAGCTCTTGTGGAGCAATCGGCTAGCGCTTTCGGCTGTTAACCGCAAGATTGGTGGTTCAAGCCTACCCAGGAGCGCGAACAGTAGAACCTCAAAATCAGAGATTGCTGCAAAAATATGTACACTAAGTTGTTAATTTCAGGATCCAACGCTTCGAATTCTTGAATTTGAAAAAATAGGTTTGAAAGACTAGCATAATCTTCGAGCCCTTGTAGGGAGAAGTATCAAATCTTCTTTTAAATTTTTTGAAACAATCGCACTTCTTTGAACCGCCAGTTATTTTCCGAGTTTTCATGATTGCTTAATAAGTTTCAGGCTCTCAAAAATAAACTTTTCTCATAGAACAAAGCTCAAATGATGCATAAAAAATCAACCGACACGTCTTATCGAGCTCTTGTGGCGCAATCCGCTAGCGCGTTCGGCTGTTAACCGAAAGGTTGGTGGTTCAAGCCCACCCAGGAGCGAGAACATTAGAATCTGAAAATCAGAGATCGCTGCAAAAAATGTGTGCACTAAGTTGTTAATTTCAGGATCCACAGCTTCGAATTCTTGAATTTGATTAAATTGAAAAATTAGATTTGTAAGACTAGCTGATTCTTTGAGCCCTGCTAGCTCAGTCGGTAGAACGTTGGAATTTGAATGCAACGGTCAAGGGTTCGAGTCCTTTGTGGGGCGAAGTAGCATTTCTTCTATTAATTTTTTTTTGAAACAATCGAACTTCTTTGAAAGCGCCAGTTATTTTCAGAGTTTTTGTGAATGCTTGACAAGTTTCAGGCTCTCAAAAATAAACTTTTCTCATATAACAAAGCTCGAATGATGCATAAAAAATCAACCGACACATGTTATCGAACTGTTGTGGCGGATTCGGCTCGCGCGTTCGGCTGTTAACCGAGAGGTTGGTGATTCAAGACCACCCAGGAACAAGAACAGAAGAACCTCAAAAGCAGAGATTGCTACAAAAAATGTGTACACTAAGTTATTAATTTCAGGATCCACAGCTTCGAATTCTTGAATTTGAAAAATAAGGTTTGTAAGACTAGCATCATCTTTGAGCCCTGCTAGCTCAGACGGTAGAGCGTTAGACTAGTAATCCAACGGTGAAGGGTTCGAGTCCCTTGTGGTGCGAAGAATCATTTCTTCTATTAGTTTTTTTTTAAACACTCGAACTTCTTTGAAAACGCCAGTTATTTTCAGAGTTTTTGTGAATGCTTAATAAGTTTCAGGCTCTCAAAAATAAACTTTTCTCATAGAACAAAGCTCGAATGATGCATAAAAAATCAACCTACACAATTTATCGAGCTCTTGTGGAGCAATCGGCTAGCGCTTTCGGCTGTTAACCGCAAGATTGGTGGTTCAAGCCCACCCAGGAGCGAGAACAGTAGAACCTCAAAATCAGAGTTTGCTGCAAAAAATATGTACACTAAGTTGTTAATTTCAGGATCCAACGCTTCGAATTCTTGAATTTGAAAAAATAGGTTTGAAAGACTAGCATAATCTTCGAGCCCTGATAGCGCAGTCGGTGGAGCGTTGGACTTGTAATCCAAAGGACAAGAGTTCGAGGCCCGTGTAGGGAGAAGTATCAAATCTTCTTTTAAATTTTTTGAAACAATCGCACTTCTTTGAAACGCCAGTTATTTTCCGAGTCTTCATGATTGCTTAATAAGTTTCAGGCTCTCAAAAATAAACTTTTCTCATAGAACAAAGCTCGAATGATGCATAAAAAATCAACCGACACAACTTATCGAGCTCTTGTGGCGCAATCGGCTAGCGCGTTCGGCTGTTAACCGAAAGGTTGGTGGTTCAAGCCCACCCAGGAGCGAGAACAATAGAATCTGAAAATCAGAGATTGCTGCAAAAAATGTGTGCACTTAGTTGTTAATTTCAGGATCCACAGCTTCGAATTCTTGAATTTGATGAAATTGAAAAATTAGGTTTGTAAGACTAGCTGGTTCTTTAAGCCCTGCTAGCTCAGTCGGTAGAACGTTGGAATTTGAATGCAACGGTCAAGGGTTCGAGTCCTTTGTGGGGCGAAGTAGCATTTCTTCTATTAATTTTTTTTTGAAACAATCGAACTTCTTTGAAAGCACCAGTTATTTTCAGAGTTTTTGTGAATGCTTAACAAGTTTCAGGCTCTCAAAAATAAACTTTTCTCATATAACAAAGCTCGAATGATGCATAAAAAATCAACCGACACATGTTATCGAGCTGTTGTGGCGGAATCGGCTCGCGCGTTCGGCTGTTAACCGAGAGGTTGGTGATTCAAGACCACCCAGGAACAAGAACAGAAGAACCTCAAAAGCAGCGATTGCTATAAAAAATGTGTGCACTAAGTTATTAATTTCAGGATCCGCAGCTTCGAATTCTTGAATTTGAAAAATAAGGTTTGTAAGACTAGCAGCAGCTTTGAGCCCTGCTAGCTCAGTCGGTAGAGCGCTAGAATACTAATCCAACGGTGAAGGGTTCGAGTCCCTTGTGGTGCGAAGAATCAATTCTTCTATAATTTTTTTTTGAAACACTCGAACTTCATTGAAAACGCCAGTTATTTTCAGAGTTTTTGTGAATGCTTAATACGTTTCAGGCTCTCAAAAATAAACTTTTCTCATAGAACAAAGCTCGAATGATGCATAAAAAATCAACCTACACAATTTATCGAGCTCTTGTGGAGCAACCGGCTAGAGCTTTCGGCTGTTAACCGCAAGATTGGTGGTTCAAGCCCACCCAGGAGCGAGAACAATAGAACCTCAAAATCAGAGATTGCTGCAAAAAATATGTACATTAAGTTGTTAATTTCAGGATCCAACGCTTCGAATTCTTGAATTTGAAAAAATAGGTTTGAAAGACTAGCGTAATCTTCGAGCCCTGATAGCGCAGTCGGTGGAGCGTTGGACTTGTAATCCAAAGGACAAGAGTATGAGGCCCTTGTAGGGAGAAGTATCAAATCTTCTTTTAAATTTTTTGAAACAATCGCACTTCTTTGAAACGCCAGTTATTTTCAGAGTTTTTGTGAATGCTTAATATGTTTCAGGCTCTCAAAAATAAACTTTTCTCATAGAAGAAAGCTCGAATGATGCATAAAAAATCAACCGACATATGGTATCGAACTCTTGTGGCGCAATCGGCTAGAGCGTTCGGCAGTAAACCGAAAGGTTGATGGTTCAAGCCCACCCAGGAGCGAGAACAATATAATCTGAAAATCAGAGATTGCTGCGAAAAATGTGTGCACTAAGTTGTTAATTTCAGGATCCACAGCTTCGAATTCTTGAATTTGATGAAATTGAAAAATTAGGTTTGTAAGACTAGCTGATTCTTTGAGCCCTGCTAGCTCAGTCGGTAGAACGTTGGAATTTGAATGCAACGGTCAAGGGTTCGAGTCCTTTGTGGGGCGAAGTAGCATTTCTTCTATTAATTTTTTTTTGAAACAATCGAACTTCTTTGAAAGCGCCAGTTATTTTCAGAGTTTTTGTGAATGCTTAATATGTTTCAGGCTCTCAAAAATAAACTTTTCTCATAGAAGAAAGCTCGAATGATGCATAAAAAATCAACCGACATATGGTATCGAGCTCTTGTGGCGCAATCGGCTAGAGCGTTCGGCTGTAAACCGAAAGGTTGGTGGTTCAAGCCCACCCAGGAGCGAGAACAGGAGAATCTCAAAATCAGAGATTGCTGCAAAAAATGTGTGGACTAAGTTATTAATTTCAGGATCCACAGCTTCGAATTCTTGAATTTGAAAAATAAGGTTTGTAAGACTAGCAGAAGCTTTGAGCACTGCTAGCTCAGTCGGTAGAGCGTTAGACTACTAATCCAACGGTGAAGGGTTCGAGTCCCTTGTGTTGCGAAGAATCATTTCTTCTATTATTTTTTTTTGAAACACTCGAACTTCATTGAAAACGCCAGTTATTTTCAGAGTTTTCATGATTGCTTAATAAGTTTCAGGCTCTCAAAAATAAACTTTTCTCGTAGAACAAAGCTCGAATGATGCATAAAAAATCAACCGACACATCTTATCGAGCTCTTGTGGCGCAATCGGCTAGCGCGTTCGGCTGTTAACCGAAAGGTTGATGGTTCAAGCCCACCCAGGAGCGAGAACAATATAATCTGAAAATCAGAGATTGCTGCGAAAAATGTGTTCACTAAGTTGTTAATTTCAGGATCCACAGCTTCGAATTCTTGAATTTGATGAAATTGAAAAATTAGGTTTGTAATACTAGCTGATTCTTTGAGCCCTGCTAGCTGAGTCGGTAGAACCTTGGAATTTGAATGCAACGGTCAAGGGTTCGAGTCCTTTGTGGGGCGAAGTAGCAGTTCTTCTATTAATTTTTTTTGAAACAATCGAACTTCTTTGAAAGCGCCAGTTATTTTCAGAGTTTTTGTGAATGCTTAATATGTTTCAGGCTCTCAAAAATAAACTTTTCTCATAGAAGAAAGCTCGAATGATGCATAAAAAATCAACCGACATATGGTATCGAGCTCTTGTGGCGCAATCGGCTAGAGCGTTCGGCTGTAAACCGAAAGGTTGGTGGTTCAAGCCCACCCAGGAGCGAGAACAGGAGAATCTCAAAATCAGAGATTGCTGCAAAAAATGTGTGGACTAAGTTTTAATTTCAGGATCCACAGCTTCGAATTCTTGAATTTGAAAAATAAGGTTTGTAAGACTAGCAGCAGCTTTGAGCACTGCTAGCTCAGTCGGTAGAGCGTTAGACTACTAATCCAACGGTGAAGGGTTCGAGTCCCTTGTGGTGCGAAGAATCATTTCTTCTATTATTTTTTTTTTTGAAACACTCGAACTTCTTTGAAAACGCCAGTTATTTTCAGAGTTTTTGTGAATGCTTAATAAGTTTCAGGCTCTAAAAAATAAACTTTTCTCATAGAACAAAGCTCGAATGATGCATAAAAAATCAACCGACACATCTTATCGTGCTCTTGTGGCGCAATCGGCTAGCGCGTTCGGCTGTTAACCGAAAGGTTGATGGTTCGAGCCCACCCAGGAGCGAGAACAATAGAATCTGAAAATCAGAGATTGCTGCGAAAAATGTGTGCACTAAGTTGTTAATTTCAGGATCCACAGCTTCGAATTCTTGAATTTGATGAAATTGAAAAATTAGGTTTGTAAGACTAGCTGATTCTTTGAGCCCTGCTAGCTCAGTCGGTAGAACGTTGGAATTTGAATGCAACGGTCAAGGGTTCGAGTCCTTTGTGGGGCGAAGTAGCATTTCTTCTATTAATTTTTTTTTGAAACAATCGAACTTCTTTGAAAGCGCCAGTTATTTTCAGAGTTTTTGTGAAAGCTTAACAAGTTTCAGGCTCTCAAAAATAAACTTTTCTCATATAACAAAGCTCGAATGATGCATAAAAAATCAACCGACACATGTTATCGAGCTGTTGTGGCGGAATCGGCTCGCGCGTTCGGCTGTTAACCGAGAGGTTGGTGATTCAAGACCACCCAGGAACAAGAACAGTAGAACCTCAAAAGCAGAGATTGCTACAAAAAATGTGTGCACTAAGTTATTAATTTCAGGATCCACAGCTTCGAATTCTTGAATTTGAAAAATAAGGTTTGTAAGACTAGCAGCAGCTTTGAGCCCTGCTAGCTCAGTCTGTAGAGCGTTAGACTACTAATCCAACGGTGAAGGGTTCGAGTCCCTTGTGGTGCGAAGAACATTTCTGCTATTAGTTTTTTTTGAAACACTCGAACTTCTTTGAAAACGCCAGTTATTTTCAGAGTTTTTGTGAATGCTTAATAAGTTTCAGGCTCTCAAAAATAAACTTTTCTCATAGAACAAAGCTCGAATGATGCATAAAAAATCAACCTACACAATTTATCGAGCTCTTGTGGAGCAATCGGCTAGAGCTTTCGGCTAGAGCTTTCGGCTGTTAACCGCAAGATTGGTGGTTCAAGCCCACCCAGGAGCGAGAACAGTAGAACCTCAAAATCAGAGATTGCTGCAAAAAATATGTACACTAAATTGTTAATTTCAGGATCCAACGCTTCGAATTCTTGAATTTGAAAAAATAGGTTTGAAAGACTAGCGTAATCTTCGAGCCCTGATAGCGCAGTCGGTGGAGCGTTGGACTTGTAATCCAAAGGACAAGAGTTCGAGGCCCTTGTAGGGAGAAGTATCAAATCTTCTTTTAAATTTTTTGAAACAATCGCACTTCTTTGAAACGCCAGTTATTTTCCGAGTTTTCATGATTGCTTAATAAGTTTCAGGCTCTCGAAAATAAACTTTTCTCATAGAACAAAGCTCGAATGATGCATAAAAAATCAACCGACACATCTTGTCGAGCTCTTGTGGCGCAATCGGCTAGCGCGTTCGGCTGTTAACCGAAAGGTTGGTGGTTCAAGCCCACCCAGGAGCGAGAACAATAGAATCTGAAAATCAGAGATTGCTGCGAAAAATGTGTGCACTAAGTTGTTAATTTCAGGATCCACAGCTTCGAATTCTTGAATTTGATGAAATTGAAAAGTTAGGTTTGTAAGACTAGTTGATTCTTTGAGCCCTGCTAGCTCAGTCGGTAGAACGTTGGAATTTGAATGCAACGGTCAAGGGTTCGAGTCTTTTGTGGGGCGAAGTAGCATTTCTTCTATTAATTTTTTTTGAAACAATCGAACTTCTTTGAAAGCGCCAGTTATTTTCAGAGTTTTTGTGAATGCTTAACAAGTTTCAGGCTCTCAAAAATAAACTTTTCTCATATAACAAAGCTCGAATGATGCATAAAAAATCAACCGACACATGTTATCGAGCTGTTGTGGCGGAATCGGCTCGCGCGTTCGGCTGTTTACCGAGAGGTTGGTGATTCAAGACCACCCAGGAACAAGAACAGTAGAACCTCAAAAGCAGAGATTGCTACAAAAAATGTGTGCACTAAGTTATTAATTTCAGGATCCACAGCTTCGAATTCTTGAATTTGAAAAATAAGGTTTGTAAGACTAGCAGCAGCTTTGAGCCCTGCTAGCTCAGTCGGTAGAGCGTTAGACTACTAATCCAACGGTGAAGGGTTCGAGTCCCTTGTGGTGCGAAGAACATTTCTGCTATTAGTTTTTTTTGAAACACTCGAACTTCTTTGAAAACGCCAGTTATTTTCAGAGTTTTTGTGAATGCTTAATAAGTTTCAGGCTCTCAAAAATAAACTTTTCTCATAGAACAAAGCTCGAATGATGCATAAAAAATCAACCTACACAATTTATCGAGCTCTTGTGGAGCAATCGGCTAGAGCTTTCGGCTGTTAACCGCAAGATTGGTGGTTCAAGCCCACCCAGGAGCGAGAACAGTAGAACCTCAAAATCAGAGATTGCTGCAAAAAATATGTACACTAAATTGTTAATTTCAGGATCCAACGCTTCGAATTCTTGAATTTGAAAAAATAGGTTTGAAAGACTAGCGTAATCTTCGAGCCCTGATAGCGCAGTCGGTGGAGCGTTGGACTTGTAATCCAAAGGACAAGAGTTCGAGGCCCTTGTAGGGAGAAGTATCAAATCTTCTTTTAAATTTTTTGAAACAATCGCACTTCTTTGAAACGCCAGTTATTTTCCGAGTTTTCATGATTGCTTAATAAGTTTCAGGCTCTCGAAAATAAACTTTTCTCATAGAACAAAGCTCGAATGATGCATAAAAAATCAACCGACACATCTTGTCGAGCTCTTGTGGCGCAATCGGCTAGCGCGTTCGGCTGTTAACCGAAAGGTTGGTGGTTCAAGCCCACCCAGGAGCGAGAACAATAGAATCTGAAAATCAGAGATTGCTGCGAAAAATGTGTGCACTAAGTTGTTAATTTCAGGATCCACAGCTTCGAATTCTTGAATTTGATGAAATTGAAAAATTAGGTTTGTAAGACTAGTTGATTCTTTGAGCCCTGCTAGCTCAGTCGGTAGAACGTTGGAATTTGAATGCAACGGTCAAGGGTTCGAGTCTTTTGTGGGGCGAAGTAGCATTTCTTCTATTAATTTTTTTTGAAACAATCGAACTTCTTTGAAAGCGCCAGTTATTTTCAGAGTTTTTGTGAATGCTTAACAAGTTTCAGGCTCTCAAAAATAAACTTTTCTCATATAACAAAGCTCGAATGATGCATAAAAAATCAACCGACACATGTTATCGAGCTGTTGTGGCGGAATCGGCTCGCGCGTTCGGCTGTTAACCGAGAGGTTGGTGATTCAAGACCACCCAGGAACAAGAACAGAAGAACCTCAAAAGCAGAGATTGCTACAAAAAATGTGTGCACTAAGTTATTAATTTCGGGATCCACAGCTTCGAATTCTTGAATTTGAAAAATAAGGTTTGTAAGACTAGCAGCAGCTTTGAGCCCTGCTAGCTCAGTCGGTAGAGCGTTAGACTACTAATCCAACGGTGAAGGGTTCGAGTCCCTTGTGGTTCGGAGAATCATTTCTTCTATTAATTTTTTTTTGAAACACTCGAACTTCTTTGAAAACGCCAGTTTTTTTCAGAGTTTTTGTGAATGCTTAATAAGTTTCAGGCTCTCAAAAATAAACTTTTCTCATAGAACAAAGCTCGAATGATGCATAAAAAATCAACCGACACATGTTATCGAGCTGTTGTGGCGGAATCGGCTCGCGCGTTCGGCTGTTAACCGAGAGGTTGGTGATTCAAGACCACCCAGGAACAAGAACAGAAGAATCTCAAAAGAGAGATTGCTACAAAAAATGTGTGCACTAAGTTATTAATTTCAGGATCCACAGCTTCGAATTCTTGAATTTGAAAAATAAGCTTTGTAAGACTAGCAGCAGCTTTGAGCCCTGCTAGCTCAGTCGGTAGAGCGTTAGACTACTAATCCAACGGTGAAGGGTTCGAGTTCCTTGTGGTGCGAAGAACATTTCTGCTATTAGTTTTTTTTGAAACACTCGAACTTCTTTGAAAACGCCAGTTATTTTCAGAGTTTTTGTGAATGCTTAATAAGTTTCAGGCTCTCAAAAATAAACTTTTCTCATAGATTAAAGCTCGAATGATGCATAAAAAATCAACCGACACAAGTTATCGAGCTCTTGTGGCGCAATCGGCTATCGCCTTCGGCTGTTAACCGAGAGGTTGGTGATTCAAGACCACCCAGGAACAAGAACAGAAGAATCTCAAAAGAGAGATTGCTACAAAAAATGTGTGCACTAAGTTATTAATTTCAGGATCCACAGCTTCGAATTCTTGAATTTGAAAAATAAGGTTTGTAAGACTAGCAGCAGCTTTGAGCACTGCTAGCTCAGTCGGTAGAGCGTTAGACTACTAATCCAACGGTGAAGGGTTCGAGTCCCTTGTGGTGCGAAGAATCATTTCTTCTATTATTTTTTTTTGAAACACTCGAACTTCTTTGAAAACGCCAGTTATTTTCAGAGTTTTTGTGAATGCTTAATAAGTTTCAGGCTCTAAAAAATAAACTTTTCTCATAGAACAAAGCTCGAATGATGCATAAAAAATCAACCGACACATCTTATCGAGCTCTTGTGGCGCAATCGGCTAGCGCGTTCGGCTGTTAACCGAAAGGTTGATGGTTCGAGCCCACCCAGGAGCGAGAACAATAGAATCTGAAAATCAGAGATTGCTGCGAAAAATGTGTGCACTAAGTTGTTAATTTCAGGATCCACAGCTTCGAATTCTTGAATTTGATGAAATTGAAAAATTAGGTTTGTAAGACTAGCTGATTCTTTGAGCCCTGCTAGCTCAGTCGGTAGAACGTTGGAATTTGAATGCAACGGTCAAGGGTTCGAGTCCTTTGTGGGGCGAAGTAGCATTTCTTCTATTAATTTTTTTTTGAAACAATCGAACTTCTTTGAAAGCGCCAGTTATTTTCAGAGTTTTTGTGAAAGCTTAACAAGTTTCAGGCTCTCAAAAATAAACTTTTCTCATATAACAAAGCTCGAATGATGCATAAAAAATCAACCGACACATGTTATCGAGCTGTTGTGGCGGAATCGGCTCGCGCGTTCGGCTGTTAACCGAGAGGTTGGTGATTCAAGACCACCCAGGAACAAGAACAGTAGAACCTCAAAAGCAGAGATTGCTACAAAAAATGTGTGCACTAAGTTATTAATTTCAGGATCCACAGCTTCGAATTCTTGAATTTGAAAAATAAGGTTTGTAAGACTAGCAGCAGCTTTGAGCCCTGCTAGCTCAGTCGGTAGAGCGTTAGACTACTAATCCAACGGTGAAGGGTTCGAGTCCCTTGTGGTGCGAAGAACATTTCTGCTATTAGTTTTTTTTGAAACACTCGAACTTCTTTGAAAACGCCAGTTATTTTCAGAGTTTTTGTGAATGCTTAATAAGTTTCAGGCTCTCAAAAATAAACTTTTCTCATAGAACAAAGCTCGAATGATGCGTAAAAAATCAACCTACACAATTTATCGAGCTCTTGTGGAGCAATCGGCTAGAGCTTTCGGCTGTTAACCGCAAGATTGGTGGTTCAAGCCCACCCAGGAGCGAGAACAGTAGAACCTCAAAATCAGAGATTGCTGAAAAAAATATGTACACTAAATTGTTAATTTCAGGATCCAACGCTTCGAATTCTTGAATTTGAAAAAATAGGTTTGAAAGACTAGCGTAATCTTCGAGCCCTGATAGCGCAGTCGGTGGAGCGTTGGACTTGTAATCCAAAGGACAAGAGTTCGAGGCCCTTGTAGGGAGAAGTATCAAATCTTATTTTAAATTTTTTGAAACAATCGCACTTCTTTGAAACGCCAGTTATTTTCCGAGTTTTCATGATTGCTTAATAAGTTTCAGGCTCTCGAAAATAAACTTTTCTCATAGAACAAAGCTCGAATGATGCATAAAAAATCAACCGACACATCTTGTCGAGCTCTTGTGGCGCAATCGGCTAGCGCGTTCGGCTGTTAACCGAAAGGTTGGTGGTTCAAGCCCACCCAGGAGCGAGAACAATAGAATCTGAAAATCAGAAATTGCTGCGAAAAATGTGTGCACTAAGTTGTTAATTTCAGGATCCACAGCTTCGAATTCTTGAATTTGATGAAATTGAAAAATTAGGTTTGTAAGACTAGTTGATTCTTTGAGCCCTGCTAGCTCAGTCGGTAGAACGTTGGAATTTGAATGCAACGGTCAAGGGTTCGAGTCTTTTGTGGGGCGAAGTAGCATTTCTTCTATTAATTTTTTTTGAAACAATCGAACTTCTTTGAAAGCGCCAGTTATTTTCAGAGTTTTTGTGAATGCTTAACAAGTTTCAGGCTCTCAAAAATAAACTTTTCTCATATAACAAAGCTCGAATGATGCATAAAAAATCAACCGACACATGTTATCGAGCTGTTGTGGCGGAATCGGCTCGCGCGTTCGGCTGTTAACCGAGAGGTTGGTGATTCAAGACCACCCAGGAACAAGAACAGAAGAACCTCAAAAGCAGAGATTGCTACAAAAAATGTGTGCACTAAGTTATTAATTTCGGGATCCACAGCTTCGAATTCTTGAATTTGAAAAATAAGGTTTGTAAGACTAGCAGCAGCTTTGAGCCCTGCTAGCTCAGTCGGTAGAGCGTTAGACTACTAATCCAACGGTGAAGGGTTCGAGTCCCTTGTGGTTCGAAGAATCATTTCTTCTATTAATTTTTTTTTGAAACACTCGAACTTCTTTGAAAACGCCAGTTATTTTCAGAGTTTTTGTGAATGCTTAATAAGTTTCAGGCTCTCAAAAATAAACTTTTCTCATAGAACAAAGCTCGAATGATGCATAAAAAATCAACCGACACATGTTATCGAGCTGTTGTGGCGGAATCGGCTCGCGCGTTCGGCTGTTAACCGAGAGGTTGGTGATTCAAGACCACCCAGGAACAAGAACAGAAGAATCTCAAAAGAGAGATTGCTACAAAAAATGTGTGCACTAAGTTATTAATTTCAGGATCCACAGCTTCGAATTCTTGAATTTGAAAAATAAGGTTTGTAAGACTAGCAGCAGCTTTGAGCCCTGCTAGCTCAGTCGGTAGAGCGTTAGACTACTAATCCAACGGTGAAGGGTTCGAGTTCCTTGTGGTGCGAAGAATTATTTCTTCTATTATGTTTTTTTGAAACACTCGAACTTCTTTGAAAACGCCAGTTATTTTCAGAGTTTTTGTGAATGCTTAATAAGTTTCAGGCTCTCAAAAACAAACTTTTCTCATAGAACAAAGCTTGAATGATGCATAAAAATCAACCTACAAATGTTATCGATCTCTTGTGGCGCAATCGGCTAGCGCATTCGGCTGTCAACCGAAAGGTAGTTGGATCAAGTCAACCCAGGAGCGAAACGTCAACCCAGGAGCGAGAACAGTAGATCCTCTAAATCAGAGATTGCTGCAAAAAATATGTACAGTAAGTTATTAATTTCAGGAGCCACAGCTTCGAATTCTTGAAATTGAAAAAATAGGTTTGAAAGACTAGCGTAATCTTCGAGCCCTGATAGCGCAGTCGGTGGAGCGTTGGACTTGTAATCCAAAGGACAAGAGTTCGAGGCCCTTGTAGGGAGAAGTATCAAATCTTCTTTTAAATTTTTTGAAACAATCGCACTTCTTTGAAACGCCAGTTATTTTCCGAGTTTTCATGATTGCTTAATAAGTTTCAGGCTCTCAAAAATAAACTTTTCTCATAGAACAAAGCTCGAATGATGCATAAAAAATCAAACGACATATCTTATCGAGCTGTTGTGGCGCAACCGGCAAGCGCGTTCGGCTGTTAACCGAAAGGTTGGTGGTTCAAGCCCACCCAGGAGCGAGAACAATAGAATCTGAAAATCAGAGATTGCTGCGAAAAATGTGTGCACTAAGTTGTTAATTTCAGGATCCACAGCTTCGAATTCTTGAATTTGATGAAATTGAAAAATTAGGTTTGTAAGACTAGCTGATTCTTTGAGCCCTGCTAGCTCAGTCGGTAGAACGTTGGAATTTGAATGCAACGGTCAAGGGTTCGAGTCCTTTGTGGGGCGAAGTAGCATTTCTTCTATTAATTTTTTTTTGAAACAATCGAACTTCTTTGAAAGCGCCAGTTATTTTCAGAGTTTTTGTGAATGCTTAACAAGTTTCAGGCTCTCAAAAATAAACTTTTCTCATATAACAAAGCTCGAATGATGCATAAAAAATCAACCGACACATGTTATCGAGCTGTTGTGGCGGAATCGTCTAGCGCGTTCGGCTGTTAACCGGAAGGTTGTTGGATCAAGCCAACCCAGGAGCGAGAACAGTAGATCCTCAAAATCAGAGATTGCTGCAAAAAATATGTACAGTAAGTTATTAATTTCAGGAGCCACAGCTTCGAAATCTTGAAATTGAAAAATTAGGTTTGTAAGACTAGCTGAAGCTTTGAGCCCTGCTAGCTCAGTCGGTAGAGCATTGGACTTTTAATCCAACGGTCAAGGGTTTGAGTCCCTTGTTGGGTGAAGTATCATTTATTCTATTAATTTTTTTTGAAACACTCGAACTTCTTTGAAAACGCCAGTTATTTTCAGAGTTTTTGTGAATGCTTAATAAGTTTCAGGCTCTCAAAAATAAACTTTTCTCATAGAACAAAGCTCGAATGATGCATAAAAAATCAGCCTACACAATTTATCGAGCTCTTGTGGAGCAATCGGCTAGAGCTTTCGGCTGTTAACCGCAAGATTGGTGGTTCAAGCCCACCCAGGAGCGAGAACAGTAGAACCTCAAAATCAGAGATTGCTGCAAAAAATATGTACACTAAATTGTTAATTTCAGGATCCAACGCTTCGAATTCTTGAATTTGAAAAAATAGGTTTGAAAGACTAGCGTAATCTTCGAGCCCTGATAGCGCAGTCGGTGGAGCGTTGGACTTGTAATCCAAAGGACAAGAGTTCGAGGCCCTTGTAGGGAGAAGTATCAAATCTTCTTTTAAATTTTTTGAAACAATCGCACTTCTTTGAAACGCCAGTTATTTTCCGAGTTTTCATGATTGCTTAATAAGTTTCAGGCTCTCAAAAATAAACTTTTCTCATAGAACAAAGCTCGAATGATGCATAAAAAATCAACCGACACATCTTATCGAGCTCTTGTGGCGCAATCGGCTAGCGCGTTGGGCTGTTAACCGAAAGGTTGGTGGTTCAAGCCCACCCAGGAGCGAGAACAATAGAATCTGAAAATCAGAGATTGCTGCGAAAAATGTGTGCACGTAGTTGTTAATTTCAGGATCCACAGCTTCGAATTCTTGACTTTGATGAAATTGAAAAATTAGGTTTGTAAGACTAGCTGATTCTTTGAGCCCTGCTAGCTCAGTCGGTAGAACGTTGGAATTTAAATGCAACGGTCAAAGGTTCGAGTCCTTTGTGGGGCGAAGTAGCATTTTTTCTATTAATTTTTTTTTGAAACAATCGAACTTCTTTGAAAGCGCCAGTTATTTTCAGAGTTTTTGTGAATGCTTAACAATTTTCAGGCTCTCAAAAATAAACTTTTCTCATATAACAAAGCTCGAATGATGCATAAAAAATCAACCGACACATGTTATCGAGCTGTTGTGACGGAATCGGCTCGCGCGTTCGGCTGTTAACCGGAAGGTTGTTGGATCAAGCCAACCCAGGAGCGAGAACAGTAGATCCTCCAAATCAGAGATTGCTGCAAAAAATATGTACAGTAAGTTATTAATTTCAGGAGCCACAGCTTCGAAATCTTGAAATTGAAAAATTAGGTTTGTAAGACTAGCTGAAGCTTTGAGCCCTGCTAGCTCAGTCGGCAGAGCATTGGACTTTTAATCCAACGGTCAAGGGTTTGAGTCCCTTGTTGGGTGAAGTATCATTTACTCTATTAATTTTTTTTGAAACACTCGAACTTCTTTGAAAACGCCAGTTATTTTCATAGTTTTCATGAATGCTTAATAAGTTTCAGGCTTCTCAAAAACAAACTTTTTTCATAGAACAAAGCTTGAATGATGCATAAAAAAATCAACTTCAAAATCAGAGATTGCTGCTCTGTTCCTTGGTGGTTCAAGCCCACCCAGGAGCGAGAACATGAGAATCTCAAAATCAGAGATTGCTGCAAAAAATGTGTGCACTAATTTATTAATTTCAGGATCCACAGCTTCGAATTCTTGAATTTGAAAAATAAGGTTTGTAAGACTAGCAGCATCTTTGAGCCCTGCTAGCTCAGTCGGTAGAGCGTTAGACTACTATTACAACGGTGAAGGGTTCGAGTTCCTTGTGGTGCGAAGAATCATTTCTTCTTTTAGTTTTTTTTGAAACACTCGAACTTCTTTGAAAACGCCAGTTATTTTCAGAGTTTTTGTGAAGGCTTAATAAGTTTCAGGCTCTCAAAAATAAACTTTTCTCATATAACAAAGCTCGAATGATGCATAAAAAATCAACCGACACATGTTATCGAGCTCTTGTGGCGCAACCGGCTAGCGCGTTCGACTGTGAACCGAAAGGTTCTTGGATCAAGCCAACCCAGGAGCGAGAACAGTAGAGCCTCTAAATCAAAGATTGCTGCAAAAAATGTGTGCACTTAGTTATTAATTTCAGGATCCACAGCTTCGAATTCTTGAATTTGAAAAATAAGGTTTGTAAGACTAGCATCATCGTTAAGCCCCGCTAGCTCAGTCGGTAGAGCGGTAGACTACTAATCCAACGGTGAAGTGTTCGAGTCCCTTGTGGTGCGAAGAATCATTGCTTCTATTAGTTTTTTTTGAAACACTCGAACTTCTTTGAAAACGCCAGTTATTTTCAGAGTTTTTGTGAATGCTTAATAAGTTTCAGGCTCTCAAAAATAAACTTTTCTCATATAACAAAGCTAGAATGATGCATAAAAAATCAACCGACACATGTTATCGAGCTCTTGTGGCGCAATCGTCTAGCGCGTTCGGCTGTTAACCGAAAGGTTGTTGGATCAAGCCAACCCAGGAGCGAGAACAGTAGATCCTCTAAATCAGAGATTGCTGCAAAAAATATGTACAGTAAGTTATTAATTTCAGGAGCCACAGCTTCGAAATCTTGAAATTGAAAAATTAGGTTTGTAAGACTAGCTGAAGCTTTGAGCCCTGCTAGCTCAGTCGGTAGAGCATTGGACTTTTAATCCAACGGTCAAGGGTTTGAGTCCCTTGTTGGTTGAAGTATCATTTATTCTATTAATTTTTTTTGAAACACTCGAACTACTTTGAAAACGCCAGTTATTTTCAGAGTTTTCATGAATGCTTACTAAGTTTCAGGCTCCCAAAAACAAACTTTTTTCATAGAACAAAGCTTGAATGATGCATAAAAAAAATCAACCTCAAAATCAGAGATTGCTGCTCTGTTCCTTGGTGGTTCAAGCCCACCCAGGAGCGAGAACATGAGAATCTCAAAATCAGAGATTGCTGCAAAAAATGTGTGCACTAAGTTATTAATTTCAGGATCCACAGCTTCGAATCTTGAATTTGAAAAATAAGGTTTGTAAGACTAGCAGCATCTTTGAGCCCTGCTAGATCAGTCGGTAGAGCGTTAGACTACTATTCCAACGGTGAAAGGTTCGAGTCCCTTGTGGTGCGAAGAATAATTTCTTCTTTTAGTTTTTTTTTGAAACACTCGACCTTCTTTGAAAACGCCAGTTATTTTCAGAGTTTTTGTGAATGCTTAATAA